AGAAAGAAAGAAAGAAAGAAAGAAAGAAAGAAAGAAAGAAAGAAAGAAAGAAAGAAAAGAAAGGAAGTAAGTAAGTGAGTCAGACATCTAGAGAGTTCTATTATTCAGGAACAAAGGTCAATAATTATCAAATACTGGCCAGGCCTTGAGGGATTCATATTTCACAGTAATTTTCAAATTTTGCTACATGGAATCGAAGAGTTGTACAAAATATTCCTAGTAGCTTACAAATGAGAAACTGCCAGGTAGGCTTCATTTATAAAAGTATATAACTCACATACACTCATTTATTATACCAAACCTGAGGCCAGAAAAATGTGTACCACAATAAAAATGAAGCTATAAAATTTTCACCCTACATTATGGGGCGGGGGGGGGGGGGGGGAGGAGGAAGGAGAGGCAGGGGATAATTTGTTGTATTTTTTTATTTATTTATTTATTTTTTATTTTTTTTCAACGTTTTTTATTTATTTTTGGGACAGAGAGAGACAGAGCATGAACGGGGGAGGGGCAGAGAGAGAGGGAGACACAGAATCGGAAACAGGCTCCAGGCTCTGAGCCATCAGCCCAGAGCCCGACGTGGGGCTTGAACTCGCGGACCGCGAGATCGTGACCTGGCTGAAGTCGGACGCTTAACCGACTGTGCCACCCAGGCGCCCCTGTTGTATTTTTTTAAATGAGTTCCTCATCTTTCTTTTTTCTGATCTTGTTTGCATCAGCAAATCCTACAGGAAACAAATTAAAGTCTAAAATGAACTCTGAAATTTCTGAATAATACCATCCTTATTTTGAGAAAAATGTGTATTCTAGTGGTTTTTGGATGAAATAACCTATAGATGTCAATCATATCTGGTTGATTGATGGTGCTGTTGAGTTCAAATATATCTTCACTGATTTTCTGTCTGCTAAGATCTGTCCATTTTTTAATAAAGGAGTGTTGAGATACCCAACTAAAATAGTGAACTCATCTATTTCTCTTTGCAATTCTATCAGTTCTTGCCTCACATATTTTGATGGCTTATTGTTAGGTGCGTCCACAGTAAGGATTATGTCTTCCTAAAGAATTAAACCCTTTATCATTATATAATGTTCCTGCTTATACTTGAATAGTTTCCTTGCTCTGAAGTCTGCTTTGTCTGAAGTTAATACAGCTGCTCCAGCTACTCCAACCCCATTAGCAACAAATTTTCTACATTTTTGTTAACTGAGAAAGTCTTTATTCTCCTTCACTTTTAAGGACAATTTAGTAGGAGAAAGAATTCTAGACTGTTGGGTTTTTCTCTCAACACTTTTAAGTATTTCCCTCCACGCTCTTCTTGCTTGCATGGTTTCTGAAGAGAAGTCAGATATGATTTTTACCCTTGCTCCTATATAGATAAGGTGTTTTTCCCCTCTGGCTTCTTTCAAGATTATTTCCTATTTCTTTGATTTTCTGCAATTTGAATATGATATGCCTAGGTGAAGTTTTGGGGACACTTAACCTGCCTGGTATTCTCTGAACTTCCAAGATCTGTGGTTTGGAGTCTGACATTAATTTGGGGAAATACTCCATCATTATTTCTTCAAATAGTTCCTCTGTTCTTTCTTCTCCTTCCTCTACTTCTGGTATTCCCATTATGTATATATTACATCTTCTGAGACTGTCCCATAGTCTTTGGTTATATTTTAATTTTTTTTTCAGTCTTTTTTCTCTTTGCTTTTAAATCTTAGAAGATTCTACTGACATATCCTCAAGCTCAGAGACTTTTTCCTCAGACATGTTCCATCTTCTAATAAGCCCATCAAAGGCATTCTTCATTTCTGTTACAGTGGTTTTTTTATTTCTAGCATTTCTTTTTCTTTCTTAGAATTTCCATCTTTCTACTTACATTATCCATCCATTCTTGCATGTTGTCTACTTTCTTCATTAGAGCCCTTGGCATACTGGTCATAATTGTTTTAAATTCCTGGTCCAATAATTCTAATATCCCTGCTATGTTTGAGTCTGAACCTTATGCTTGCTCTGTCTCTGTAAACTGTGCTTTTTGCTTTTTTATCATGCCTTGTAATTTTTTTGTTGTTGTTGTTGTTGGAAGCCAAAAATTATGCACTGCGTAAAAGGAACTGCAGCAAATAGGCATTTAGTAATGTAGTAAGGTTTATGGGTAGAAGTGTTCTACAGTCCTATGATTAGGTCTCAGTCTTTTAGGGAGCCTGTGCTCCTGAGTTATGACCTTCAAAGTTCTTCTCAGTCCTGTCTGCCCGCCCCCCCGCAAACCAGATACACATACACACACACACACACACACACCCCTTAGGTCAAACAAAATGGCTAGAGGAAGCTGGAATTGGATATTTCTTTTCCCCCCACATAGAAAGCTAAAACAGGCTATAATTGGGTATTCCCCTTCCTCCAGTTCAGTTAGGCTCTGATAATACCCTAATAGGTTAGGCTCTGATAAAATACCTTTCCTTTAGAAAAAAAGAATGCCTCAGCACATTTCAAAGTGACTGCCTTCCTCTTCCCCTTTCCCTGTCAGAAGTACCAAGGCATTTTTCTCTAATATTCACTGTGAAGACACGGTAGATTTCCTGGAGGTAAAACCATGGAAGTGTGGGGCTCCTAGACCTAGGTCCCCTTGGAGTTTATACTTCACACTTGCCCACATTGAGCCTCTGGCAATTCGTTAATTACATTTCAGGTTTTTTCCTACCCGGTACTGGTTCCCTTGGAGGTTTCTGCCCCTGAGTTCTGCTAGGGTAAGTTGTCATTCTCTGTATTTGCCTGCTAACTCGGGGACAGCAGCTTGCCTTGTGACCTTAACTCCATGAAAAATCTCAGAAAAGTCAGCTGATTTTTCAGATTGTTCAGTTTTTTACTTATTGTTAGGACAGAGTGATGACTTATACGTCAACCAAAAACCACAAAAAAATCTCATTTTCAATTTTTACCTTCACATTTTCCTAATGGATAAAGTGATATATATAGCACTCTTATGCTATTATGAAGAGAGAAAAAAATAGAGATTTGAATTTGTCTCAATGGCACACAAATTACCTAAAATATGACTGATCATAGGGTTCACCCTGTAACACCAAAATGCAAATTATTGAGCAATATACTTCATTAACAAAGTTATTTCACCCTTCCTTTCTGAAGCTATGAAAACACATATATAACCAAATATTATAGAGATCATTTAGAACCTGCATTGTTATTACAAACTAAAATATTTCCTAAATAAAGACCTAAATATTAAATTTCCTTAGGGGCTTTTTAAAATTTACCAGTAAAGACTGTAATTCACTGGTATTCTTACTAATTTGCAGAAAAATAAAGCCTGCCTCTTAATTCCTAAAATAGAATTATAATGCCCTCCAAACAAACTTAGGTTTTCAGATTCTTCCTCTGGAGGAAAAAAAAAATCAGTAAAATACTAAAATTTTTATGTGAAATTTGACATTTGGATGCCAATTCCCAACATTTGCTATTTCTGTGGAATCAACCTTTATCAAAATTAATTTACTCAGGAAATCTTAGTCCACTCTATAGTGTTGTCTGCTATTCTGATAGCAAGAAATACAGCTACTTTTTTTTTTCCAAATAACACTGTAAAACAGCTCATTACTCTTTATATTATTGACTTAAATTTTATTCAACTGAGTTTTAACATACTTAAACAAAGGCATACTGGTTAAATAAGATAAACATATCTAATTCACCTTAAGAAATTTAAAAGCACGTTGCATATAAGCTCCCAAACATAGCAAGAATGTCACAATAGCCAAACCCAAGAAAATATATTAGCAGTACTTTCACTTTACATAAATGTAACTATTTTATTATTATTTTCCACATCTGTGATGCATTAGGTATAACAGACATTTTTGAGCTCTTAATACACTGAAACAGATGAACCATTACAAAATTAGGAACAAGTGTAAAATCTTAAAGAATTAATAATAATCTTGCTCTTCAGCCAAAGGAGAACTACAGAGTTGGACAAATAATTTTCCTACAAGGATAATGAGGAATTAGGGTGAAACACACAGGAAATGATTCGGGGATGGTTACAAAAAGCATGGGGAAAAGTGACTACAGTAACAAGTTAAAAAATTATACAAAAGCTCCTAGAAAAAAAGATTAATCAACCCAAAAGGAAGCTGTCAAATGAGAATGAAGATGGATACTTGTGTTGTGAAAGACAGAAGAGAATGCTCTAAAAGTTCCATTCTTAATTTGCTAAATATAAAATGGCTGAGACCCCACATTCCTGAAATCCCAAAACAAAGTCAATATCTAACTAAAACTGAAACTTCATACTTGGCATAATTTTTAGCTAAAGTAATAACCTATAAAAATGGAGTCAATTATGTCAGTTCATAAGAGACAAAGAAATGAAAACATCAAAGCAAAAAACAAAAATTAAGACTCTCTAGTCACGTCAAGTGGTTTATATATGTAAAAATAAACTATCCAGGTGAAAATAGCTATGTGAAAGAGACAAGAGAGCCTAGCAGAGCACAGAATGTACTCCTGCTCCAAAAAAGTCACATGATTTTTAGAAAGTCACTGATTACCTCCAAAGCTGAAATAGTGTAGTCTCAGTGCAATCTTTTGAGGAATAGTAATACACCATCAATCAATAATATAGTGTTTTCTGGGTGAAGGGATATTACCTAATGAGAAAAGGATTTTCTCACTTTTAAAGACAAAAATTTTATTAACAAAGTTATTCCAGTATTAACTGTGAAAAATGGCTTACCTTCCTTCCACTAGAACACAAGCGTACAAAACCACATGGTATTTCCAAAAGGAAGATATTATTGCTTGAATCTGGGTCACTAAAATTATCACTGTTCAAAATGAGAAAAAAGAAAGGGGTAACATTAATTATCTACAATTACACATTTTCTTTGTTGTTAACATGAAATATATCTCACATAAAACCTCATAGGCCATTCAAATGAGACACATGACCCTAGGTTTGAAATCTCTAGAGATAGCTCCTTTGAAGACTGGACAAATAGTTTAAACCATTTAAATAATTCCTGATCACCAAATGTGAATAATTTTTTTTCTAACTAAAAAAATTTTTTTATTATTTACTGTTCTCACACCACTTTAATTTTTTTCCCATAAAAAAGAACATGGAAATTCAGCTACACAAAAAGGCCCACTGTAAAAAAAGAAAAGTGGGGAGGGGGAGATACTCAAACAGCTTCAAGAAAAAAAGCATGTTCCACACCAGATCGTATTTACAGTTCCTCATCTAGAATTCAACTAACATCCAACTGCAGCAATCAGCCAAGCTTGGTAAATTAAAATAACAGTAATTTTGACAGATTATCTTCTATAAATATTCCAATATGGGCGTTTATGTGCATGTAAGGGTCTCTACATGCCAATCAAAATGCTTTGTTTAAGATACTAAAATTGAGCTTTTTTCACCCTTCTTTTCTATAGGAATCCCCTGAACCCTTGACTTTCATTTTAACTCTTTCACCTCAGCTGATAAAGAGGCCAATTATTTCTCTATTCATGGCCTAATTATCCATAGTCTGAATTAAAATTTTAAGTATAATATTCATATCAGACAAAAAGTACCTAGAATCTTAGAAAAACTAAGTCTGTAAAGAAAACAGAAAAGATTCAGGAATGGGGATGAGGTGGGTGCAGAGACAGAATCTTGAAGGATGGCAACTCAATAAACGATTAACTTTTTATTGATGTGACCAGGTATGGCTTAGTAAAGTAAAATTCAAAGGTAAAGAGCAATTAACAACTTGATAAATTTGGGCTGTATTCAAAGTTACAGTAAAACAGACTATCATTTATTTGGCTCAAGGCAAGACCCTATGCTTTGATGACAAGTTTAAGTATATGAAAGTACCAAAAGTGGGGAAATGCAATTAGTATGAAATTCAAACCAAATGTAATATTTGACATCCAGAGAGCCCTATTTAATCAAGAATAATGGCTCTAATGAAGGCAAGATATCTGATGCATACATTTGTTAATTGTCCTCCTATCCTATCTCTCATTAGTTAGTTCCCCTTAAACATATACACAATTACTGAAAAGCCTCAGATGTTCCAGGAAACTACAAGTGATAGATAAGCCTCTGCATGCAGACAATGCAGTAATACAAAATAATGGACAAAAATTTAACCTATTCAGAAGCCTATGCGTTTCTAGTTCCACCTGGAAAGAAACGGCTATAAATCTATTAAGATTGCTCAAAATATTTCTAGAAAGTTAGTCAAGCTTTTAGGAAACTTTTACTTTATCATCATTCACCATCAAGCACTCAAACCCAGGTCCAACAGTGGATCCAAGCCATACCAGTGGTTTTCAAACCAGGGAAGGGAAAAGTCTGGTCGAGGAAATAGCTTCAGCCTCCTCTAGGAGCTTGTTAGAAATACAGAATCTCAGGCCCCTATCCAGGGACATACTGAATCAGAATCTGCATCTTAACAATTCCCAAATAATTCAAATAGATATTAAGATGTGGGAAGTTTTGCAGGAAGAAGAATATTAGAATGAGAGAGAAGGTATAATCTGTTCAAAGATTGGGTTCCTACTGCAGGCTACTGTTTGGCCAATAAGCAACCAATTTTCAACCTCTGGCTTATAGCATCATTATTCCTCCTACAGTTTTTCTATTTTAAAATACAAAAACCCCTCAAGAGCCAAAGAAATTAGTATCTGATTAAATCTCAGGTCCCCAGAAGGGCTGTGACACAGTTATCTTAGAGCAGGTGGTCCCGTCTCATACCCCTGAATTACATTAACTAGACAAGTTAATTTAACAACTCCTTTCATTCCAAATCCTAGACTCTAAGAGTGTGTGAGGTCCCAATAGTTAAGAAAGAGACCAAGAGGCTATCCCATCGTGTAACCAGGAGAGGAGAAAGCTGTATGTGGTTGTTATTTGGCTATCATCTCTCAGCTCCAAATCCACCCTTTAGTACTCAGCATAGTGATACTGAAAACAAAACTCGGGAAAACTTTTCTCTTTTGCCAGCCAGCTTCCTCATGCTGCCACTAAGCGCAGTAGAAGAAACTTGCTTTTTCCGGTCAGCACTGGCCTGGCACAGGCCCTCCACTCCACCGATAGCAGTTGGTGACCACCACCAGTTTTTCCAGCACTCTCAGAAGCAGCAGCAGCAGCCCAGGCAGTACCCCCCTCTAGAGGTTTTGAACCCCAACTCTACTCCAAGCCCTTCTTTGTTCTCCCAGCCTTATTTCTACTTTCTGTAATTGTCTCTGTGTTACTCTAGTATGCCCCTTTTGCTTTTTCAACCCTCCAACTCCTGTATAACCCATTCCCCTATGTTAAATTTCCTTGGCAGAAATATCTAGTGTGTATTACTTCCCTGTCCATACTCTAACTGATACATCATGGCTAGATGGAATAAAATCCAGCATGATCTTCATCACTTTGGAAAAACAATTTTCCAAAAACATGATAGTCCATAAGAAAATATCTACTGCTCTCCCCCAAAATAGGTACAAGATGGGAAATGGATGTAAGAAGTATGGGTGAGAAAAAAAAGATGAGGAAACACAACTTAGGAAAGTAAAAATATAAGTTTTTCACTTTACATAACAAAAATCTCAGAATTTACGAAGTGGAAGGAACTATATTCCTCTGCCTCTGCCATTGTTTAGTTTTATTAAAGCAGTTTTCTACTGAGTTTGAGCTACTATATTTTCAGGAAGCCATTGAGAAATTAGGGGTGGCCCAAAAAGTTATAAAAATGATGAAAGCAACAGGCAATAGGATGCATGAGGAGAGATTCAAGGAGTCAAACTTCCTAGTCCACTCCAGGGAAAAGAAAACTTCAGGTATTAGCTGTCTTCTGGTTACAGAATTCTTTAAGCTGTGTTGCATCATCCTTACAGATGCTTAAAATGATAGAAGATAAAGTAAAGGAAGACATAAAATAGAGCTTCTTAGCTTAATGACTCCCCTTCAGATTACTAAAGTAGTAGCTCTTAATGCTATTTACACATGAGAATGAATTAGAATATTTTTTACAAAAATAATAAAATAGTAATAATGATGATGCCCAGAACACTAATGCCAGAGATCTGATTTAACTGGTCTGAGATAAAGCCTAGGCATATTTAAAAAAAAAACAAAAACAAAAACAGGGGCACCTGGCTAGCTCAGTCAGTAGAGCCTGTGTCTCTTGATCTCATGCTTGTTACTTCTAGCCCCACGCTGGGTGTAGAAATTACTTAAAAATAAAATCTTAAAAAAAAAAAACAAAAAAAAAACACTCAAGTGTTTATAAAGTACTGACAGAAGAACTGAGAACAACTTAATGGAATCTTCCATAACTTTAACACCCAAAGTTTGGTCTAAGTACTTAATTACATCCAGATTACCAACGGAGCTTGTTAAAAAGGCAGCATCTCAGGCCTTACTGAGTAGGAATCTAACAAGATCCCCGAGTAATCTGCACATTAAAGTGAAAAAAACATCATCCTATAACAGTTTGAAAAGGGTTTGAGAGTGTGTGTGTCCAAACTCCAACCTAAAATTAACTAAGTTGATTTTTTTTAAGTTTTAAACAGTTTAAACAGTTTAAGTTTAAACAGTTTAAACAGTTGTTGTTTTTTTTTTTTTTTTTTAAGTAATCTCTACACCCACGTGGGGCCCAAACTCATGTCGCATGCTCTACCAACTGATCCAGTCGTATTTTTACTTTGTAAAAGTACTTTGCACTTTTCTAAGTATTTTTACTTTGAAAGTCTATTAGAGTTTACTAATAATATGAATAACTTCTAATAATATGTAATAACAACTAATATTTATTCAGCCTATACAATTTGTAGGTACTGTTCTTTATAAAATGATTTAATCCTCAACATGTATCTATAAAGTATATAATTTTATGATCCCTGTTTTACAGATAAGAAAACTGAGGCAAGCCTGAGTTATATAAAGTAAATAGCTTGCCCCAGGTCACACAATTAGTAAGTGGCAAAGATGAGAAATGAACCCAGATAGTCTTGTTTAAGAGCTTAAACTTAACTACAAAATAATACTATGTTTGCCAACACCAACCAAAAACATTCTAAAACCATTCAGGAGAAAAGTATAATTACAGGTAATAAGATTGCTTTAAGAATAAAGGGGAAAAAAATCATGTGATTTTCTCTGATGGAAAAAAAAAAAGATCAACAGAGTTGTGATAGTGTATCATATGAAAAGTATATGGTACCTTTTTAATTAATAATGACAAAGTTCTGGTGACCTATTTGCTGAGAATGAACAAAACCACAGACATTAAAAAACAGAGTTGGGGTGCCTGGGTGGCTCAGTCGGTTAAGCGTCTAACTTTGGCTCAGGTCATGATCTCGCGGTCCATGGGTTTGAGCCCTCGTTGGGCTCTGTGCTGACAGCGCAGAGCCTGGAGCCTGCTTCGGATTCTATGTCTCCCTCTCTCTCTGCCCCTCTCCTGCTCATGCTCTATCTCTCTCTGTCTCTCAAAAATAAATAAATGTTAAAAAAAATTAAAAATAGAGTTGCTTATCCCATAAGAGTTTTTACAGTGGATGCTGGAGCCAGAATGATTTGGAGACTAAAAATACCAAAGCTAATACTCACTAAAATGCAGCCTTCTAAACACCTAAGTTTAAAACTATGACTTGAAGCAATTCATTGGTTCGTTTGGATAAGGTTTTACCTGAAGAATCTAAGAAAGCTGAGGTTCATGTGAAGCACTGCCAGAGTACAACTTAATTTCCCAAAGAATGGAGGAAGATTCCCAGGAAGCCAACACTGACAAAACCCAAAAGAAGCATGTTCTTAGGAGGCAGAGCAGCTGTCAAAAAACACAGA